GAGAATCATTTCAAACTCAAAATGAAAAAATGCAGCATAAAGCTGTAACACAAACTCAAAATGCAACGAGTTCCTTTTTTCATTAGTTTTTTTATAATGGTGCTTGACAAGATATATGGTGGTGGTGATAGCTACATGTTTTGATACGAATTCCACCCTCAACTAGCTGCCCTTTAGCGTGGAATTTGATCCATGAACTATGCCCAGGACTCCTCACAAAAGGAAGCTCGGAAAAAAAAAAAAGGCTAAAGGGTCAAATAGGTACATGAACTAACCTAAAGTGTTCAATTAGCCCCTTTATATAGGAGGTTCTACATGGCCGTCGCCAATTGGGGCGGTTCCCGGTGGAATTTTTTAATGAAATTTTTTGAGCATCTTCTTCATTAAGTCTAGTTTACCCATACCAAATTTCAGCTAAAAATTCAACCGGGAAGGCAGTCAAATGAGTTTTTGAAGATAACTGCGCAGTTAAACAGCGCAGTACATTTCGGAAAATCATTTGGCTGCCTTCCCGATTTTATTTTTAGCTGAAATTTGATATGGGTAAACTAGACTTAATGAAGAAGATGCGCAAAAATTTCATCAAAAGATTCAACCGGGAACCGCCCCAATTGGCGACGGCCGGGAAGAACCTCCTATATAAGGAGCTAATTGAACACTTTAAGTTAGTTCATGTACCTATTTTACCCTTTAGCCAAAAAGAAATGATGTCAGTGGTTGTTCTTTTCATGTTTTGGTTTGGAATAGCTTAATGGTTTCAGAATACGGTGAGAGGAAGAAAAGGGTGGTTCTCTCCACTTTCAGGGGACTGAAATATAAGATAAAGGAGCTATGGACGCCAGTCACGCCACAATCAAATTGATAAGTCACACAACTCAGTGGAACTCAATATAACACATGTGATTGAAAACAAACTGCTACATTTTCTTGTTAAAAATTCAGTCTTGTTCCTTGTCTTTTTGCCCTATAATTACGTTCATTGGAATTGCCAATTTTGCATTATTCCTGCCCAATTTAACAACTGGAGTTTTTCGTTTAATTGATTGGACCAATAAACCCACTAAGTGAACCACGGTTCCTTTGTCAGCCCCCCGGGACGTGGTTAAAGTCTCACTCCATTTAGACTTCTCTATCCAAGCGCAAATGGTATCTTGGAAATGCCTAGCACAAGCTCTTGTCAGTGGACCGTCTTGAATTTGTAAAGTACCTTCCCTTAGGTCTCTTTGCGGTTGTAAGCGGTCTATAATGTCTATCACATCATGTTTGCTTTTCATTTTGATGCAGCCGTATACCGGCCATAATTTACATTTTATCCATCTCAAGTTCAAAAATTACTTTGTGTTCATGTGTTTATAAACATATCTATATTTTATCCATCTCAAATTCCAAAATTACTCTATGTAGCCTATGTGGGATTCGAACCCACATTCATGTGTTTATGAACACATCGCTCTACCATTTGAGCTAATAGGCTAAAAATTATTATTCACAATAATTTAAAATTCAGTTATATACTTATATATAAATAAAGTAAGTTCGATAAGACTGTCTTTACTTCACGTCTAGTGTCGTTCTTCGCCGGCGCTCTGACGTTGTCATTCGCCGGCATGTACCTTCTTCAGCGGATTACAAGGCTTGCCACGAGTCCATCGCTCAAGAGTTGAAAGGACTCCACAGATCGCTTGATGATCACATATCTGCTCTGGAAAAACATAAGGGGATTGATGCTGCAAAGCCCTCTGAGCTTATTGAATAATAGATAAATTTCTTTACTTTTAGCTTTATTCCTAATTGAGCTTTTAGGTCTGCACTTACTGCTATATAATGTGTGCTTAATGTACATTCACATGCTTATGCTTAGACAATAGACAAAACTACTTTCCTGCATAGTTATGTACTCGTTTTTTGACAAATGTGGTGAATTTCGCATTTAAAGTGGTAACATTTAAAAAAAGAAGACTACATTCACTCTGTAAAAAAAAGAATGTACTTGCTTTATCTTCTTTGCCCAGATCTGGGGGGAAGGCAATTTTGCTGGCTGCGTTTGTGAATTTAGCGATATGGGAAAAATTCTACAAACGAATAGCGATCTTCCCACAAATTGGTCCCCTGCCAATTAATTTAATAGAGCTTGTTGATCACTTTACTATGACTACATCAATATATGTACTTCAATCATGTTGAGCGAAGATGATGGTTATAGATTGATTATGGGTTATTTACAATTCATAAGATAAAGCACAAAATTTGAATCACGTTACTGAAAGAACTAAAGAAGCCTTTCATGTGTAAAATTGTCGCCAAATTTTTTCAAAATTGTTGCTTTTCTAAAGCCTATTTCCATCCTTTGCAATAGAGCCAAAGATTCATTATTTTTTGGCTTGAGAATATGATGGAATAAAACAAAATGGCTCACTAAACTGTCTGCGCTTCTTTGTTATGAAGCAGCAGTCAGTCCATGCAATTTTGGACACGATTTTCACTATGGGTCATCCGGAAACAGTGCTTTAGTACGGGGTAAAACTGCGTACATCCGACCCCCCCTTACCCTACCGTAGGTGGGAGCCTTTGCGGTACTGGGGTAAATGAAAATGATGAAAATGTTGCTTTCTCAAGCCTACATAATGTACCAAAACTTCATACTTACCCTATTTAAAATATCCTTAGTTTGTGAAACATGACTGTTTCAGCCATAAAGAGACACACGTACTGCCCAGAAATCATCACACTGAAAGTGATAATGAAAGTGAAAATTTTATCAAACATGACTAAAAATCATCAAATGTGAGCCAACTCTCTCAAACAAAAATATGATGTTTTGGAATATTGACACTCACGACACCCTTTTTAGATTGAAAAAAAAAACAAAAACTGATTGAATTCAAAACATAATCAAGAAAAATTGGAACATTGAAAAATTAAATAATTGATACTATTCAGATTTAGCTCTCTCATACCAAAGCTCCACCACCCACTTTGAAATGAAATTGAAAACCCCGCAAATAGACTGACATCAAACATAACCCAAACATTACCCAGTAGACTGACATCATAATGAAGTTATAGTGAGATTTAACTAACAATTTGATATAAGTGATTTAAAAGGATTTAGTAATGAGTTTTACAAAAAAGGATTTAGTGATCACGGAAATATGATTAGAGAGGGCTTATATATCTACGTAGTTTATAAGACTAACTTGGTACAATAATGAAACTAATTTCACAAAGAAAAAAAATGCATCTTCCAGCTAATTTGGAGTTAGACAAAACCTTTCAAAGATTGAGAAAACCACATTAAGCACTCCAACATGATAGATTTTCTTCATGTCAGAGAACAGGGCATTGACACTTGAGAGTAGTGTATTAAAAAACTATTCAAGCTGCAAATGAGAACATAGAACACGAAGCCAAGAAAGTTGGAAGGTATTAGTCCATTGTCATTTGTAGTAAAAGAGGGTATATCACTCTGTTTCCCTTGACAGCTCTTATATTCTATAATGAGGCTTAGATCATGACAATGACAAAGGAAACCAGCATTCTCCAACTCTCATGTTGCACTCAATAAATAAACTAATTTACAGAAATGATTTAATGATAACACAATGTGGCACTAAGATAAGTTACATATCCATAATACTAGACCAAATGGTTATGTCTTCATGTGCTGCATTAATTTTCTTACAATATGCATACTATAACTCATTATTCCATTCTGCAAATTGAAAATACACGGATTGATAAAGTAATCAACTAGATCTTCAATAGACTAGATTTTCACCCGTGCGATGCACGGTCAGAAAATTGGGTCAAAATTAATATTAATAATCGTTAAAATAAATACATTTATAAATAGTGATTTAGAAAATAATAATGACCCTTATAGGGGTAAGATTTGTGAATAAAAGGTGTATTCTTGTTTTCTTTAAAATAGGATTCAAAATGATTACTCCTAATAGAAAAAGAGTTGCTAAAGTTTATAATTTTAGTAATAAAAAGTTTCAACTTTTAGGAGCAAGCTAGTCATGTTTCCGGAAAATATAATAGTATGTGTTCCTATTTTGAAATTGAGTGAAACTATTGAAAAAATAGTACAATTATGTAGTCAATAATTCATAATTAATAAGTTTGATGGGTGATATAATGAGAAATTGGATGAATCTTGTGTTGTGAAAGTTCTATTTTTATTATTTGATGATTAAGCTTTGGTTTAAGATTGTTTATTATTTTCTAAAATATGAATGACATCTTTAACGGGAATGTCTAAAGGAGGCAAGCGGGAATCCTAAATTGAGACAGGAGTAGCACATTAGAATAACTGAAAAAGTGTTTATAATATATTTGTCCTTTGCACTCTACAAATATTCAAATATTAACTATATACTCCGTATTTCATAATCAACTTGGAGGTTTGGATCAATTCTTAGGTATTTGATCATTTTTTGTGATCAATTCCATATTTGTTCCCCACTTTCCTTTTCAATAATTTCGCCACTTTCTTTTTCAATAATTTCGTCCCCATTCTTTGAAATGCTTTGCTTAATACTCCATCCGTCCCTAAATAACTTTCCTTATTCGTCCGTCCCAAAAAAAACTTCACTTTCTCTTTTCGACAAAAAATTTGTGGTTCACAACATTTCTCTCTCCTCTGCACAACTTTCCACCACACAATTCTCACTTTTTCTTAATCCGCATGCCACTTTACATTGGAAGAACATTTAGCCATTTAGGGACGGAGGTAGTATATATTTCATAGTTTTCATTATTTTCCTCCTTTACTCACTTAATCCATGACACTTTTCTTACTACATTCACCTTTTTGCTTTCTCATTTGAACACAAACCCGACTCCTATGACATTTATACCACCCTACTATTCTAATTTCTCTATGGGAAACCTAATACGGAGTAGGTCATTTAATACAAAAAAAAAAAGATGACTGATTTATTGTGTTAAAATTATTACACTATTAAAAAAATACCCATTTCAGATTATGAAATACTGCGTATATGATATTTTTTGAGCTTATTTAAAAACAAATACTCCATAATACATGTATGTATATATCTGCTCTGACTATTTTCTTTTGCATGATTATTTAAAAAATTCCTTCACATAAATGGGGGTTTTCAAGTATACCTCAACCATCAACCAAAGAAAGAGTGCCTCCACCACAATTTCAAAATCCAAAGTGTAATAGACTAGTATCACTCCATATAGCAAATTGTTGCCTTTCCGGTGCTTGACAATAAAGAAACAGATGAGCCAAGCTCCAAAATACAAAAGTGCCAAGCTTGAGACATGCCTGGATCCAAAAATAAAATCTACAAAACTATCATACTATAAGAGAAAAAAAGTCCCCAAATCCATTAAACCAAATCCAAACACCAAAAAAACTATCCAAATACAAATCCTTCCCCTGAGCCAGTTATCTTCAAACCGTGGTAAAACCGGCTCCCCTTGTTTGACCAACCACGGCATCAGGGGAAGGAGCCCGATATGTTTCTATGTGGTTTCCCGGCACATATCCGGAAAAAGAAACAAAGCTTCTAAGTTGTAGTCCCATTTTCATCCCTAGAGAATCTGACGGCATAGTCCCAAACAAAGCTAGACACACACCGTCACAGGGAAAGAAAATTCGGATCTATTGAAGCTTTGGATTCCGATTTATCCAGTCTCTTTTGGTTCTCGAAGAACAGGAGCGTAGGTTCGTCCATATTTTGCACTTTTGGATCTCCCTGATACTCCCCTTCCTCACCCGCTTCATCTTGGGCTGAAATCCATTATTTCACTTCCCGTAGAGATGTCCCGTCGGCTTGGATTGCAACTTCCACATTTGTAGTTTCACGGAAGGCTCTGCTCACCACGGGGAAGAAGATGAGGTATGACTGATTCCAATATGTAATGGGGGGCTGACTATATACTTGGTATTGTTGTTACTTTTCGACCATGGAATCCTAAAAGATGAATAGGCAATTAATTGGACCATGACTCTCCTCTGGCATTAATCAAGAAGATATCACGTCAATATATTGTTGACTTAGCACATATACTGGTACAGTGGGAATAGACATTTGCCTGACATGGAAAATGCTATGTGTACATGGTTTGTACACAATTTGTACATGATATAAATATCCCTTAATTTTTACCATTCCACTTTTCCTTTTTTTACTCTTTTCTCTCTTCCTTATCTCTTTCTCCCCTCTCTTCTCTACGACCTAAGCTCCTCTCCCAATCCCAGTTTATCCTTTCTTCTTCATTCATTTTCATTTCAATTCTTCTCCACATTTAATTGTCAAAAGCCATTTAAATTGTCTCTATGGACTATGGTTGTTCACGATTCAATAGGGAGCACCGCAGACCTGGAAGCCATCGCCGTCTGAAGTTGCAGCCGACCGGATGCTTCCACGACCTCGAAATTACATGGCCTACCACCTGCGAGCAAGTCCGACATGGAGGATCGATTTCCGACTTGGTGAATTGCTGCTGACCCACTGCCACCATGGTATTCATTTCCTCTTTATCTTGCTTCAATCCAACCTCCTTAACCCTAACTCATTAAATAATAATTTCCCCCTTTTATGTTATTGTGACTTAGGGTTCTTACTCTGATTTTTTAATCTTTTAAATTTTAGGTTTTCTTATTACTGGTGCTTATGAACTCTTATTCCTGTTAGTAGTTGTGCTTGGGTTCCATAAGCTTATTATTGCCGATATCAATATTAGGGTGCTAAAAAATATTACAAACTTTCTGAGGAAATATGTTGTTGGCTTTCGTATTTTGTTTCTCTTAGTTCAAACATTTGTTTTTGGAAAATTATTGTCTTCTTTACTTATCAAAGTGGTATTGGTTTTCTAGTTATGGTCAAACATTTGGTTTGACAAAAATCTTCTTTTTGAAATTTAATTAAATGTACTATTATGTTATTCTAATCCTTGTCTTGTTGGAAATTAAGACTTGTTTTACTATCTGTAATTTGTCTTTTTATCCCTAGGTAATATGTTAAGAATTTGGTGTTTATAATATGTACTATATTCAAAATTTCCTTATAGTCTGCATTCTCTTGATTTGCTTCTTTATTTTATGGAGTGGCCAAGTAGTTTCAGGGATAGATTTAAAAGCATTCCATACACATGATTAATATTCATCATTCTTCCCTATAATATGTGTTCTACTACACTTTTAGTACTTAAGCTTGGTTTGTGGAAGATGAGTGAGTACTAGTTTCATCTTTAGAAGTCTTACGCTATGTCATTGAACGCCACCAAATTTGAGTAAAGTAATTCTTTGTTTTCTTATATGAATAGATCAAAATTTTCTCAAGTTAAATGCCAATGTGGTAGTACCCTTTCCTGGATCCTAATAACCTTGTAGTTATACCAATGTTCACCGGGCTGCCCTTTTAAAGAAATTAAAAGACAACAGAATCTAACTAGTTATGTAAATTGTATTCTTCTTGTCATAGTATCTAGATAGAAAATGGTGTGCTCCCTATTGTGTATTATTAGAAAATCTGCTTCAAATTGTATTCCTTGGTGAAGTCCTACATCAGGTATTAATTGGTTTTGCCCTATGGGTTTGAACTAATGTTTGCTAACTATATATGTATGTGTATATACATATGTGTGTGTGTGTCTCCTGATTTATAAAGAAAAGATGCATATACTTTGTATTCGTGATTGGGATGATAATTTTATTTGTACTTCATTGGCATTGAATTAACTTATTTTTATTCACATGTTTAGTTGGATACTTCTGTATTGGCAACTTTCCCCCTCACTTTCTGGCATAATGTCCTGAAAATTACTAGCCATGCCTCACTTTCTGGCATAATGTCCTGAAATTTACTTGCCATGTACTGCAGTTTAGCATTTTTTTTGCTATTATGGTGTAGCTCTGCCCTTATATTGTATTTTTACAGGAAATGTACTCCCTGAAGATGAGACCCGTGACAAGAAGTTTGCTGATTGGAGTTGCTCGTAACATCGATGAGAGTTATTGTTCCAACTGCCAAGTTAATATATAGTAGATGCTAAATTAGCTTGAACTTTGTACCGTTGAGATATATTGACTAGTTGTGTATTAATTTAGAAAGTTGTTGATGTAATTATATGTGTAGAATCAATATTGAATCAAGAGTTTTTTAATCATCTTATACTTTTGTAAATGTTGTCCAACATTCTATTATGTTTAAATGTAATATAAGTTTTTACTTCTAAATTTATCGAGGCAAGGTAATGAAAATACATGGTTGGTTGTGATTTTATCCGCATTGTTTTAGCATCAACATATAATTGCCTCCGAAAAGCTATCATAACATACGATCAATGTGCATCTAAAGACTATGGTCAAGCATATGGTGATCAAGTGATCTTATACATGTTGTTGAAGTTAAACTGTATTAGTTATAATTATTATATTAATAGAAAATACATAGTCTTGCAAAATAGCTAAAAGATCATACATGGTCTCGGTTGGGAGTTTAGCTTCAAATTTTCTCATACACAAGTTAGATTAACTCGTTTGTGGTTATTGTTTGTAATCAGACACTTCATGTCATGTTCACAAACAACTCTAATCTGCACATTTGCTCATTCTATTGACTATTGCTTGTGGCCAGACATTTAATGTGTGGTTCACAGACAATTCCACTTAAAACATTAACTTATAAGAGCACTGCAGTGACTATTGTTTGTTGCCAGACACTTCATGTTATATTCACAAACAATTTCAATCAGCACATTTGCTCGTTCCAGTGACTATTGATTGTGGCCGGACATTTCATGTCTGGTTCACAGACAATTCCACTTAGCACATTAACTTATTAGAACATCCAGTGACTGTTGTTTGTGGCTAGAAACTTCATAAAAGGTTGACAGACATTTCCACTTAGTAAATTAGTTCATTCCAATGGCTATTTGGTTTAACCAGACACTTCATGTCCGGTTCACAGGCAATTTCACTTAGCACATTGACCCATTTCCCCCATTCACTGTTTGTGGTCAAACATTTTTATCAGGTTCACAGACATTTCCACTTAGTACATATGCTCATTAACCAGCTAATGAGCTCATGTGCTAAGTGGAATTGTCTGTGAACGCGGCATGAAGTGTTTGGTTACAAACAAAGGATACATATTTATAATGTCTTTGATTCTGAAGTGAAAAACAAACACATTTACAAATAAAGTGTTCCAATACCGAGAACAAGCATTATCATTTACAACCCAAATGTCATATACCCTCCAACACCTCAAATCTCAATGCCAACTAATCTAAAACAAGCATTATCATTTACAACCAAAATATCAACACATTCCAATGTCGACTAATCTAAGAGAAACTAATCTGAGATCATCTAATTCTATAAGATTCGATGAGCACCACCTATGACTAAATTAGTTGGCATTCTTCATAAGACCATCATCTTCAAAAGACCATCATGTTCGCTTTGCCATGCCTTGTCAATTTCAAAGACGACCTATAAGTCTGTCAAACTTGCTGATCCCATGGCTGCAAAACTCATATGAGATATAGCAATAGCTACATAGAGATAATAATTAATAACAAAGTATTCAAAGAATGATTATTATAATATTACAAAACTGATACGAACGATATTACACCGTACAAAAAAAAGAAACCTTTTTCTAATGCTTCTTCCGGTGAGATAGTGAATCTTTTGATTTGTAACATGTTCATGAATATGATAAATCAAAATAACACACATAAACGAGTGAATAATTTATAATTCAATGGTGCAGAACAAAATGAAAATATACCTAAAAGGCCAGGTATAGCTTTGGTAACTATTAAGATCAGTGAACTAGTTTTATTTATTGCAGTCAATTAATAAATAGATAATACGTAGTATATAATATGTATACTTCAATTTAAAGTCATATTGAAGAGCATAATTTGAATGTAGATGCACTCAACCTCAAGGAGTAGCTGAGAAAACTAGTAGTTACACCAAAATATACTTGCAAAAATTAGTTGGAAACCAGAAGCAATAAGGAGAACATAATATCATATTAAATCAATAAAAAGTCTACTCTGAGATTAAGCCCGTGTGATGATCGCAGGATCCATCTTTTCAATCCCTCCCTTGTTCACCATGTCAATTGCACTCTGAACAACATCAAGTGGTACCATAATATCATCCGTGAGCACCAAAATGCTATCTTTAATTTGTAGCTGCAGAATCCTACGGTAGGAACAATAATGTTAAGCTGTGACATGAGCCCTGTACTACTGTACTTACACAAAAAAATGATACAACCTAATGTGAAAGATCTCAATGAAAAGAATTAATATATGTAATCAAAATATTACTTTGCAAACATGATAACCTATTTGTAATATCTCTCCACAAACTGCCAATCCTGATGGCATCAAATTACAAGATGACTTCAAAATCAAAATTATTATTGACAAGTAAAATCTTTAATTTCTCAACAATGCATAAATAGTCCCAAAGTGTATTCTTCTACAGGACCCCAAGCCACTCTAATGAAACAGCATCGTCTACGAATTATCTCAGTTCATAATTGAATCTGGTCATGTTGAAATTCTATTCATCTACGTATTAGCTTTCATCTAACAACAAGATCAATGAATAAATAAGACTAGTGAACTAGTTTTATTTACTGCAGTCAATAAATAAATAGACAATATAATATGTATACTTTAATTTAAAGTCATAGTGAAGAGCATAACTTGAATGTAGATGCAACCAACTAATCTTTGCAAGTATATTTTGGCGAAACTACTAGTTTTCTCGGAACTAAGTGATTCAACCTTGCAAATTTGTTTGCTCTACTTTAAGTTTGACAGAGACCATAGTAGGATGCTACTAATAAGATTTGTGAAACTGGTAAAAAAAGAAACTAAAATTAGTTAACAAAAAAGGGAGAAATGTCTTGGATATGAACAAAAATTTCATAGAGTCATTCCAACAAACATGTTATGGGCATATAATGAAATAGAGTATTGGGATTAAAATTCAATGTAGCTAACACCACAATCTTTTACAACAAAACAAAATTGCAATTATTCAATGTTTCAACATACATAATAACATACATAAACTCAGGAAACAAAAAAAAACAAAAAAGAACCCTAAAATGCATATGGAAAAATTGAAGATTACCTCAATAAGAATGATTTTGGGAAGATTCATCCATCATAAAAAGGTAAAACCTTGAGCTTCCTTTCATAAATTTGAGCTTTAAAATAAGAGTAATAGAAAGTGAGGAGTGGGCATGGAGTGCGGGACGAGTAGGCTGGAGGCTTCCAGGAGAGGAGTGTTCGAACAAGTTGGTGAGCTAAACTAAATTGGAAGATGGATGGAGTGAAAATGGTGGAGAAATTAGAGAAAAAGAAGAGAAGAAAGTTAAAAAGAGAGGAAGGGGCGCAGAAGAGATAGGGAAGGAGAGAAAGTGACCGATGAGATGAGGAGGGTAAAAATAGAGAGAGAGATGAGTTTTAAAAATGGGAAGTTTTTTTGGGCATTTATAGCTTGTACACTTTGTGTACAAGTTGTGTACCCCAAGCATATTCCTGCCTGACATATACTTGTAATTAACTCACGGTCAACCAAACATTTAATTAAAGTTGTTTCAAAGAATAAGAATATGAGTCTCGGACACGCCACATATTTACCTTTTGAATAAGAATGTGCTTTGAATAATGGTTTGAACGGATCTTCCTCTATTCTCTTTTATTTTTATTCATTATTTTGATAGTGACACTTTTGGGCGGGAAAACCACCCGGTTTATCACTTCTTTTTATATAGAGTAAGATTTTGAACAGGTTGATAGTAAGCTGCCGTAGCATAACACATTTCAGATTATTTATTTCATCATATCTCTCAAAGTTTTAACTCCACACATAAGGAGCCCATAATTTTTTTTACCAAGCCCTTAAACCCGCAGCAAGAAGTAAACACAAAAAGTAAAACAAAAAAAAAACAAGTAAGAAGCAAATCAATGCTATGAGCTCCAGGTAAGAAGGATTTTCTAAATTCATTATGTCTCATATTCAGAGTAGCCAATCAAATTGCTCATAATTTAGCCATTGCTTGAAAAAAAAATGTTTCTCATTTCGGAATTCATTTCAGGAAGTGCATTGTAATGCTAAAGGATCTATCCTTATTGATTTGGAAGATGATCGACTTTATATGGTATATGACAAGACACTACATGGAGACCTCCACGGCTGCACCACAAAGTACGGTTCATTAGAACACTCCAGCCAAAACAAATGGAGACCTACATGCGGAGTACATAAAAATTCTGATATTGTAATCTATGAAAAAGGTTTGATTATTGTTAAATTTGTTGGAAAATTAGAAGTATTTCAAATGAAAAATAAATAAATAAAACTTGTTGTTATTATTTTAAAAACATTTTAATTGCTGCTCCTAAGCCATGCACGTTACTAGCAAGACTTAGAATTAATATTATTAAATAATAATTACTCCTAACGGTTTTAAGAACTAGTGGGAGTTAGAAGATTTTTCAACTTTGATCACAACATTGATTATATTTATGATATGAACGTTAGTACTTAGTACTCAACGTTTCACCTGATAGAGCATGCAGCAACGTTCTACTTTTATGTATATATATATAGATGTGTTCGATCATGCTAGGAGTTGCCATGAAAAAAAAGATTAATTTGAGCTAAACATTCCCTACTATTTTCACTCTGTTGGATTTATATTATTTTCATTCTCGTTGTTTAGTTATCGGCTTACGCCGAAGAGCTCGTTATATCTTGGGGAAAGGTTTTCGCTAGTCGGAAATACTTTCTTGAGGACAGCGTCTAACGCGTCTCGAGCTATATTATTTTCTAAGTCCTTTTTGCAGGTTTATCCGGCCAATTTCCTCCAACAATCTCAAGAAAGTATTTGGCGTCGGATATGTCTGCACATGTGATCTCACAAGGCGTTGTCGCTGCACTCATCACGGCCATGTTATTCTTGCATGTGTGGTGTGATTTAGACTGGTATTTGGATATATCTCTACGTATAATGCTTACTCTTTTTACTTTCCTACTTACAATAAGCCATACTTTAACACCAATTTTTGAGAAAAATATTATTCCTTTATTTAGTGGTAAAATGACAACTATGAAAAACAACAACTCACTAAAATCAAGTTTAAACTTGGTTAGTAGTGATGATAATTTTATTGCGGTTGTTTCTCAAAGT